GTTCATTGCCCCCATCCATGTGTCTAATGGGTACTGTTTCAACCATCACATTCTCATTATACTGCAGACAAAATAGCACGTGAAAGTCACGGCTATCCATGGTTGACATACTTTAGATTTACTTTACTGACTAGATTTGTCACTCGTGGGCTTAAGACAGAAGAGAGACAGGGAGGAAACTGAAGTGTCAGCCGGGGCAGCAGGTGGTGGAGATGGTTGTGTGAGAGGATTGGGTGTCACAGTTGGGCCCTTGGCGCTAACTTCTCCTTTGGGAAGAGAGGACAGGTAAACCCCCTGGGCTGCCAGAGGTATAGTAACTAGAAGGTTGAGGGGTGCAAGCCTCAGGCAGGGCCACTGTGGGGTCTCTTTTCAGGACAGGCAGGTGGAATTTACGTTAGCTCCTGAGCATTTATGACTTTGTCCCCGAAACAAAACAGGAGACTGGTTTTTTTTCCCCAAAGATAATTACAAATACAAAGATGGGCACAGCTTACAAATCACTGAGATTAGCTGGGCGGCAGTGGCGCACACCTTTAATCCCAGCACTCGGAGGCAGAGCCAGGTGGATCTCTGTGAGTTCGAGGACAGCCTGGTCTACAGAGTGAGATCCAGGACAGGCACCAAAACGACAAAGAGAAACCCTGTCTCGAAAAACCACAAATCAATCAATCAATCAATCACTGAGATAACTTGTTTTGTTGTCTGTCCCAACTCTTGTGTTGGCTCTTGGGTGTGAGGTTGTGGCCAGGCCACACAGATTTTACACAGGTACAGCCACCAAACCATCTGCTCTGTTAACAAATGTGAGAACTTGAGCCCTTATTGAAACACTGATTTTGAACCATCTGTTTTCCCAGATCTATTCAAGGCCAAGTTGAGAGCGAGCCTGATTGTGATGGGTGGCTTGAGACTTCACCTAAGTTCTGAACTGTGCACTTGTATCTGCTCTACATAAGCACCTTTATTCTACATAAAGTCTACATAAATGCCTCATGTTACACTTACATGGGCATCAATGTGAAATTCTCTGTGGCTATTTTTTTTTAAGGGAATAAGAGTTTATTTTGGAGCCATTTTGAGTGACCATGGCCCAGGAGTGTAGATTTAGGTTACCCCAAACTCCATGTTCTATTGTGGAAGCAGTTTGATGAAGGTTTATAGTTTTTCAGATCAAAGTCACAAATCAAGCCAAGTTTACAACACATTGGTGGGTACATCAGAGAGGCAGGCACAGTGAAATGGGGGAAGCTTTTCTGTAGCCCAAGATGCTCTCTGAAGCTAGTGGTCTGCTAAGTTAGTAGAGTCCAAAAGACTTTTATCTATTAGTCACAGGGTGTTAGTTCTGACACACATGGGCAAGGAATGGCTGTCCCAGGGGCTAGAACTTGCCCAAGATAAGGAGTCACTGTACTGTTGTCAACCCACCCACACACATTTTTAAATTTGTAAAAGATAAATATTGTTCAATTTTTAAATGCTGGCTAATTATACTATAGAACATTTTAGATGCTAATTAAGTCAAGAAACACCAGTACTTAAGGTATAAACCATGATGATGTTGTTCCTGGAGATTGATGTCCTTTGTATAATTTGCATAAGAAGAGTAAACTCAAATCTTTGGGTATTCCTAGTTAGAATAAAGGAATTAAAGTTTAAATTAGAAACTATTTTTTTTGTTTTAGCTAAATCACACTGGATAATAAGAATGTGTGTGTGTGTGTGTGTGTGTGTGTGTGTGTGTGTGTGTGTGTGTGTGTAAAGACAATGGAAAATCTTGACTCTTTCAAACATTAGTTTTTTGTTGTTGTTGTTGTTGTTGTTGTTTGTTTTTTTGTTTTTTTTGAGACAGGGTTTTTTTGTGTATCCTTGGCTGGCCTGGAACTCAAGACCAGGCTGACCTCAAACTCACAAAGCTCCACCTGCCTCTGCCTTCAGGGAATGAAGGTGTGCACTACCACCACCCGCTCAAACATTAGTTTTAAATAATTTGGGGCTTAGGGTAAGCAAACAGTCCTAACAAAAAGGCAAGATGAAATAAAAGGACATAATATCTTCATTTGTAGCTTCATTAAAACCAAGATTAGTATTACTTTGTCATTTGAAATCTACCAGATAGAATACTAGATATCATAAGAATTTTTTCAAATCTAATCACAAAATATTTAAGAAGCATAAACAGATAAGTGTTTAGTTTCTCAGGGTACTCCATTATCAGTGGCGTTGAAGATGAGTACATCCAGAATTTTCCACATCCACATGAATTTGTTCTTAGATGATGTGAGACATTTCCTGCCTCCCAGGAGTGAGTTAGAAGTGCCTGGACAGTCGTGAGCTTTAAGTCAGAAAGGAGTCTCTGAGGTGATGTTCTTTTCTTTCAGTTGATGAAATCACCTGGTGTTTTATCCTTTGAACTTTAGTTTTCATAAATAAAGTAGGGAGGCTCTGAAAGGAGCTCAGGAAGGGGAAACCACTGTCAGATTATATTGTATGAAAGTCTTACATTAAACATTTTATATATATATATATATATGTATATATATATTTATATTAAGAGTATTTTGAAGAAATCATTCATCGAATTTTATATCACTCATTATATAACAGGATAAAAATTTATTTAACTATATATTTAGAATCTGTTTTAGAAGGAAATCCTTATCTAAATTTATGAATATGAATTTATGAATATAACATTCAATTTTATAGCTTAATAAAATCTTATGACTTTAACGAATGTTGTTTTATATAAACAATTAGCATTTAAAGCTATTATGTAATAGATTTTAAGATGTTTAGGGTACCCAGATGTATAAAGTATTATGTATTCATTAGGCCTTAAAATATGATCACAATATTGAAATTTAAATCTGTACACATACTTTAATTGGATATACCAAAAATCTAATAATAATAATTTTATAATACAACTAACATGAATTTTAAAAAAAGGAACTGAAGTGGCCATAGTTTGTTAAAAAAAATCTTTCTGACACAAATAACATGAAATTAGGTGCACTCGGTTTAGGAAAGAAAAGGGTAGAAAATTTATCTCTCTCTTTTTTTTTAAGATAAGAGAAAGGTTTAATACAAAGGATCAAAGGTAAAGTTAGTCATATGAAGGTTTTCCCTGTCTCTAGATGGCTGAGGGGACTGTTATTTTACTGTGCTCCACCTGCATTCTAGGAGTTAACTTGGTGGTCAAAACCTGTGCCAAGTCTTGTCTGGCCACCCTTCCTTATCAAGCCAGTTAAAAGAGTCAAAACTGGGAAGCAGAAAAAGGAGATTTATGTGGTCACATTGAGAATGTGTTGGGGGAAGCAAATAGATCCAGCAAAGCCCTGGACTCCATCTTTAGGGTCCTTCAGGTAAGATCAAAGTTTAACTAGAGGGCCAAGGATACACACACTCCCCAAGCAGTCCTGGTCAAAGTGCGGCCATGCCCACTGTTGTCTGATGAGTCTTTCTTTTTACTCTCATCCTGTAAGGTGGTTTGACAAGTTGTTAGTACTGTGTACAAGGGGTGCAGTAAAGAAACCACCGAAATGGCTGCTCCACTGCAGACTTCCAGTTGTGCAGTGACAGTGAGAGACCCTTGTCAAGGCAATGTATGATGCAGAGGAGTAGAGGATGACAACTGGACATTTGAATGGGACATGCCAAATGGCCTCTGGATGTGTGAACATAAGCACACCCACCTGCACACCTGTAACATACACATGCACACATTCTAATAAGATAAAATAAAATGATGAATTTGGCAGTTCTGTTTTTATAAGGGAGTGGAGAAAATACTGTCATTCTGCTAAAGGAACATAGCAGTTTAATGACTCCTGATGACATATTGCTATAGCCATAGGTCAGTGCATCTCTCAACCTCCATTAGAGAAGCTGCTTCTTGCAGTAGATGGCAGTTAATACAGAGACCCAGAAGTGGACAACATGCAGAGAGAGAGAGAGACTTTAAAAGGATTTTTTTTATTCTTAATACCACCACACAATGAAATAACTCCTACGTTAGTTTTCTGGGGCTGTAAGAAAGTACTACAAAATGAGTCCCTTCAACAGCAGGACTGTCTGTATTGTCTCCCAGTTCTGGAGGCTGAGATCTCAGGGGGTCCTGCACAACTTTGGCGGCTTCTGAGGGCTGTGAGGGAGCCTGAGCTTTGCTGCTCTCGGCTTCTGGTGGCTTCCAGGTCTCACCCTTAGCTCTGACTGCACCTCACATGCTGTTCTTGTGTGCGTGTCTGTGTCTGAATTCTGCTCTTCCAAAGACATCAGTGATGCTGAATAAGGGCTTCTCCCTACTTCAGTGTGCTGCATCTTTGCTATTAACCTACAACTCACCCACAAATAAAATCACCGGATTCTTACCACCACAGGCCTATATGGTTTATTTGCATTTAAACTGAGGTCTCTTTTAACTTCATACAGAAGAAAATGACTCCACAGTTATTTTCAACTAGTGAGTTCCAGTAATCTCTTGAACACTCAGGGTAAAATCCCCCTGGTAGTTAATTTGCCTCACATAAATTCTGAACCAACACACTTTTCTGCATTGGTGTGTGTATTTGAATGTCTGGCAGTGAAGGGTAAAATCTTTCTATTTTCTCTCCAGCTCAGAAAACATTGCTTACTCCTGTTTAAATTGGGATTTGAGTGGGATTAAGAGAGTAAGGGTCAAAGTTTGCATAGCACAAAGTAGAGTCAGTCTTCTAGACAAGCAAATTTAGATCCAGTATGGCTAGCACAAGCTAAGACTCCAGCCTTTAGGACTTGCCACATTTGAGAATGTCTTGCTTGTATATTCATTAAAAGGGCAACTTAAAAACTAGGCGTTTAGCTGTGAAATTGCTGTTTTTACTTTGTTATGGGTGTGGTTTAAATGAGCTGTTTCAGGAGGCAGTGGGGTGAACCTAGCCACACACTTAGCTCATTAGACACCCCTGAATCAATAAGAATCATTGTTTTGTTAATTTCATCAACATGTTCATTTCTTTCAGCTCCATGTTCATGCATGTCTTTTAACCCGGAAACAAGAAGACTGTCCATAGGTCTAGACAATGGTACAATCTCAGTAAGTACAAATAAGTAAGATTTCCAGTTGAAATACTTGCCCTCTTGTGGAGTGTTATGAACTGCGCTAACAAGTTATCTAATAGCTTTTTCAAGTAAACAGTCATTTTCTGGCTAAGCGAGTGCATGGAGCACAGTAAGTTATGGTGAGGGGGAGGTGCTGTGTAGGGCGAGGCTGTCTTTACTTATGTGCTGTGGCTCAGCGTGCCCTGCCGCTTTGCTGGTTGCTAGGCTATGGACCTTAGCAGGCAAACACTGTAGCTGTGTGCATCTGCATCATTGAGAGAGAACGAAGATCCCGAACTTGCTGAACTGTGATACTGAACTTGGACCGCTGCACCATCTGAGTGTTAGTGACAGTCACATAAGGGAAATGCTTTCTCTTCCATCTGCACGGCTGATCTTGTGTTCTGATACTCTCTGTTCTCTTGGCTTTTTCTTGTTGTTTCAACTCTCTTGTAATAGGAATAGAATGCTGTAAACTTGAATGAGTTTGTTAAGATCAAGATTTTAGATCTAGATCCAGGTAAATATTAGAGCCGTTGGTTATAGATCTTGAGAGAACTGAAGTGCATAGGGCTTGGAAGTTTAGGTATTATCTTTATCGTCTTACTTACTGACTCTCATCTAGTATATTGACTGGTAGCAAATGTGATCTGTCCATTTCTTCATTGAATAAGTTATCCAAGCTGAGTGTGGTGGCACATACCTTTAATCCCAGCACTCAGGAAGCAGAGGTGGGTGGATCTCTGAGTTCAAGACCGGCCTGGTCCACAGAACAAGTTCCAGGACAGCAAGGGCTACATAGAGAAACCTTGTTTAGAAAAAACAAAACAAAAAATTATCCAGTGTCCTGAGCAAGAGAAGCTCTGCTTTGGTACGTGTGAAATGAAAGGTCCTACATTGAAATGCTGTGAACCTTGTAACTCCAGGTACTAGGCAGGTGGTGGTAGTTCAGGCAAAGCTTAAAAGATGGAAGATACTGTGATCAAGCGCAGCATGGATGACAGAGTAAGATATGCTCGAGAAGGGGGTGAGGAGGAGGGAGATGGGGAGGAAGAGATGAGGAGGAAGGGGAGCAGAGATGTTGACAGAACTGGGGATAGGAAGAGAAGGGATAGACTTGCCCTGTAAACCACCACACTATGGTATGAGACATCAAAGAATCTAAGAACCTGTCCTTCCAGGTAGGTGAAGGTCAATATCAGACTATACAATCATATTTTATTTAATAGCTTGACTTAAAATGTATACATAGTAGAAGATAAGACTATGCCTACAGTCTTACCTCAGCCCTTACAAGCATTAGAGGTGTGTTTGGATACTTCTTAATCTCAAAGTAGTTGTTTAATGGCCTTTGGGAAATATTAATAGTATTACTAAACATAATCAGCTTATCAGCAGTATTTATGGGACTTTTCTAATGCCCGTTACTTAGTAGGATTTTGAGATTGCATTTGTAGTTCTATAAGCTTCTCCTTAGAAAAGCAGAGATTATATACTGATCCTCGTTCACTTTAAGGAGAGCCACTTTTTAAAGGAGGGGTGAGTATAGGATAGGTTATTTTACTGTTTGTTATTTTTATCTTACGCGTAAGTGTATTTTTCTTACATGTATGTATGTTCGTGTGTGCCTGATGCCTGCAGAGGCCAGAAGAGAGCATCAGATTACTTATAAGAGGTTGTCAGCTGCTGTGTGCATGCTGGGAACTGATCCCGGGCCATCTTTAAGAGCAACAAGTACTACAAGAGATCTTGACTGCTGAACCATCTCTCTAATGTCAGTTATTTTTAAAAGATATAAGAAATAACTGGACTGCTTAGTGAACTGGGAAGGTTCATTATAAAGGAAAAGAAAAGATGAGCTGAGATCCATGTGTTGCCTACCAGTTCGTTGAATTATATGTAGAACATTCACCATCTCTGCAGAGTCTTGGATCTGTGTTACATATAGTGGTTCTTTGTACATTTGAAATCAGTGCAGATGGTTAATTGGCATGGACAAGTTATGGACAGATGTAGCTGTTTATTCTATAGAGGAAGGGAAACCACAGAACCATTAGTCCTCTTATTAAATGGAACTTCCAGGTAACAGGAGCATCAGTCAGGGACAGGGCTCTTCTGCTTCTCTGGTTATTTACTACATTGTCAAGATGCCAGACTACCTTCCTCTAAAGGACTGAGGGCGCTGGCTTGTGTGAGAACTTCCTTAAAAGTACCTCCTTTGTCTCAATGAGGAAAATTAACTGCTCATCCTACTGATTCATGTCTGAAGCCTTATAAAATTCTCATATATTAGGGAAAGATATATTGAGAGACCAGAATGTTTAAGATTCTGGCTTCTCATTGCTGTAATAATAGATTCCTTGCTACAGAAAATGCTTAGAATCTTGTCAGTTCAGTAGTATGTGTACTCTCTAGACACAAGAAATCCTTTTCTGAGACTATGTGTCCAAATAATGATTAAATTCTAAATCAAGGGAAGGATAAAGTCAGAAAGTAGATCCTTGTTTTACTGAACCAGTCCCATTGTCACTGCACAGTGGGTCGAGATGGAGAAGGAAGATCAGATCCTGTTTGACCACCGGACCAAGTGTGGACAGGCAGCAAGAGAAGCGGGACGCTTGGGAGATATGAGCAGAGGGAAGGATTGGGGCAGTTGCGAAGCAGAGGGGAAAGACAGACGCATCCCTTGGTTGTGGGAGGTAGACAAGGAAAGCCTTGTATTCTTTCTCCTGAAGTGACAACTGACAGAGAAGCTGCAGGTGGGGAGGCTGTCTTCACCTGTCCCTTTTGCTCTTTCTTTTCAAATAGCCCGGAACCCTGTTCACCACGTTGGGCTGCAAAGCTCTAACCATCTTTTAAGATGTTGTTCAGATGTTATATTTCACATTTATTTTAGATGTTGTTTCATGCAGATTGTTTCTGGACCCCAATAATTAGAATTAATCACCTGTAATGCTTAGGAAGCTTGCTATGTTGTTGCCTACTTTGTTTTCATTTCATTAAATGATTTTTTTTTTTTAAAAAAAATCTATCTCTTCTATCAAAGAATTGAGTATTAAGGACTTGACCAGTCTTTTTTAAATGTTTTTATTCTTTGACAACATCATGCAGTATATTTTGATCTTATTCATCCCCTGTCCCCTACTGGTCCTAGATCCTCCCCCACTTCCCTGTCTACCCAGCTTCACCCCCTCCCCACCCCAATCAACAAGTTCATTTTGTGTGGGCTGACTGTTCCTGAGCATGGGGCCTGCCCTCAAATGTGCTTAAGATACTGAGTGTGACACCATTAAAGAAAACTGGCCTTCCCTCTCCCAGCAGCAATCAAATGTCAGTAGGTTCTCATCATGCCACCTTCTATATATATATTCTTATATCCATTCTGTCAGTTCTGTTTCTCTAGAGAACCTTGACTAAGACACCCCCTCAAATATGGTGGAAAGTATTCAGGTGGAGAGAGGGAATCTTCTTCCGTATTAGGGATCTAGCTCCTTAACATAGGCTAACTATTCAGCCTCAGTCCAAGGCTTGCACAGTATTCACCAGTCCTCTCTCCTCAATGGTTGATTTCCTTTTAAATCCTTTTTTTTTGGGGGGGGGTACTTGGTTACCTCCTTGCTTGTTTTCTTTTAGTTGTGTGCCTAAATACTTGCCTTCTTACCTTTATCTACTTAAACATCCAGCTCCCACCAAGTCTCTATACTATGACCTCAGTCCATCACCTCCCACTCTTCTGTGACCTCGCCACCTGTCAACATCAGAATCACCACTACTACACTGCTATACACACACACACACACACACACACACACACACACACACACACACACACACACGTTGTTAGTTTTTAATCATAAATGCGTTTCAATCCAATTAACCACAGAGGTTAGGTACCTAGTAAGGGGTCGGAGGGGGTGGAGGATCTTCCAAGGGAAGGGAAATGGAGGATAGTGTTATAAAAAGATAAAGGGGAACTAGAATAGGAAGGTTAATGGGGGAGAAGGATGGGGCAGGTTAAAGGAGGGATGCGGGGAGGAAAACACTACTAAAGGTCTTGAATAGATGCTTCCTGTAGTAGTTAGGACTCTCTAGAGGAACAGAACTGATGAATGAATATACTGGTAAAATTAATATATATTCATATATTCACATATATATGGATTTATTAGAGTGACTTATAAGTTATGATCCCAACTGTTCCAATAATGGCTGTCTCCCAATGGAAGGTCCAAGAATCTAGTAGTTGTTTAGTCCACAAGGCTGGGCGTCTTAGTTGGTCTTCAGTATATGCTGGAATCCTGAAGAAGTAGGCTGTAATGGCAGTGAAGGCATGGACTTGCCAGCAAGAGCAAGGGCAAGCAAAGAGCAAGCTCTTCTTCCAGGTCAGTAGTTCTCAACCTTCTAATGCTGTGGCCCTTTAATACAGTTCCTCATGTTGTGGTGACCCCCCAACCATAAAATTACTTTCTTTGTTACTTCATAACTGTGTTTTTGCTACTGTTATGATTCATAATGTAAATATCTGTTTTTTTTCTTTCAGTCTTTTGGGGTCATGACCCACATGTTGAGAATCACTGTTTCATGTTCTTTATATAGACTGCCACCAGAAGGTGACCCAGATTTAAGGTGGGTCTTCCCACCTCAAAAGATCCAGATTTAGGGTGTATCTTCCCACTTCAAAATGATTCAATCAAGAAAAACCCTTCACAGCTATACCTAGCTGCTTGGGTTTTAGTTAATTTCAGATGTAGTCAAGTTGATAACCAAAAATAGCCATCACATGTGGATAATTCATAATTGATGGGGAGGAAGTGTCAACACAGAAGTAGTTTTTACTGAAGGATTTTTCACCAGTCCTACTGAATAATGGTTATAGGATAGTCATATGTATATGTTTATCTATATAAAAATGTATCTTCCTCACCAAACTGTTATAAAGTCAACATTCTTATTAATATTTTATTAAGATGAATTCCTGTCTTTAAAGAGTTTTTA